TGGACCCAGCAAAGCAGTAAGATTGGTGTTGAGATGAGTAGAAGGTGGTACAGGAGCGTGGAGGACACTGTCGTCTGACCTCATGAGAATGGATTTTGTGTTGCTGAAGCTATTGACAGCTTTGAGAAGTTGGTCAATGTCAGATATGGCTGTTTCCACACAACCCTTGCTCATTTTACAAAAGTAAATGATTACATTTAACTGAACGGTGTGTGTGTGTGTGTGTGTGTGTTCTTTTGGGCTTCCCAAGAGTGTGAGGATCTGTTTGGGACATGTTCCCCTAAACCCCTCAGTTGACCTGTGTCTTTACCATGCATGCTCCCCACTCTGTAAGTGGGGGTGAACACTCAGTGTCCACGTAATAGGAGCAAATCTTTCTTTACTCTTAGTGATGGATGCATAAGACAACTAAGGTCTCCCAGAACTAGATCCCCACTGACCACCTTGAAAGGGATCACAGTAGAATGTCCTGAGAGAAATATGGATCAAAGCTTTGAGTCATAAAAAAGACCCTCGAACAACTGCCCTCGGTTACCCGTTAAGCCTGGATCCAAAGTCTCACTCATAACTCAACTTCTAGGTAAACAACAGGCAAGACCTGTAAAGTGACCTGTAGCACCGGGGAGGAGAGTACTCTTTAAATCAACTAACCATGCAAGGTGGAAGGGGTACCACGTATCCAAGAATAAAGCTCAGAAAGCAAAAAGGTATAGAAAAGTAGGATGACTCGAAATGGGAAACACAGGAGTGCTGTTGAACTGGGAGACTACCTACAAGCAATGTCACACGATGTGTGTGAATCGTTGAGTAGAAAACCAATCTAGTCGGTGCCATGGGAGCATCTTTTCAGCAGAAAGTGCTGGCAAATTCTAGCTAACCAAAAAAACAGAGTAGCCTCGGAGTCAGGTTCCTTCAACTTCTCAACTCATTTGAAAGAGAAATGTGTGCACAACAGTCTTCTCATTGGCCAACTGGTCAGAACCCAACAGACTGGTCTTTGTAAGGATGCTTGGTCAATGAAGAGATGAAAAAAGAGCTGCCTCTCTCTTAGAGTCCCACTGCTTGTGCTTAATTACAGGAGGCATGTGATTTAAGGGTGAGCTCTGTGTTCAAATCTCTTGGAGGCACTAGCGTGTGGCATAGGGCAGGTGTCTTACCTTCTCTAAGCCCCTGATTCTTTATTTTGGCATCTCCCAACTGGCCTGGATCAGAAAGACCACTCAATTGAAAACAGACATTTCCAGGCTGCATCACATCATTCAAGGATCATCACACTGACAACAATGGGCTTGAGCAGGCCGATTGGGCGGATGGCACAGGGCAGGGTAGAGGTTCGATCTGTTGTTCGTGGGCTTGCTATGAGCCATAGGTGACTTGATGGCACATTAACTACATGCATTGATGCATTAAAACGTATCCGCAAGTTTATATGTAATGTTTCCAACCTCTACTGGTATGTAAAGATCAAATTTTAAAGATCTTGATAATAAAACAAAAAAAGAAATAAGTATTTGTTTACAAGCCATGATATTGGCTCCCATTTATCTGACAGTCGGACAGTGATTAGGATGACAGAAGTGATGCCTTTGATTTGTAGTGTTATATGTGTAGGAAATAATAAATAATAAATGTGGAGATAATATGGTAAAAAAAAAAGCATCTAAAAAACCAGTTGGTTTTGACTTGGGCTCCTGGAAGCAGAGCAGAGAAAGTGTTCCACAGGGTGGTTTTGTTTTAAAACTTTCTCTTGTGAATTGGATAATGGTTTACAAAGCAGGTCGATTTTTCCCATGCAACAATTCACACAACTTTTTCAGCGGCTGATTCTTTCATAAGCAGATTGTTACTCCTGCCTTTTTCCCGAGGTGACTCTAAGGAGGGACTGGAACTGCCAACCTTCTGCTTAACAACATTCACCACTTTACTCTCAGGGAATCCAACGGGGGAAACAAAGAAATAGGACTCCAAACATTTAAAATATGCTCCACACAAGACTAACTTCACATCATCACTCCTTGCTGACATTGTCAGGCCAGCTGTCATTCATCGAATATCTAGTAACAGCTTATCATGAGCCAGAGATGGTGCCAGACACAGGGGCAGTCAAGATCAAGGAGCTGTCCATCTTTCAGACTGGCCCTGGAGCAGCAAGCTGGGCAATTCCAGTTTGCCCTCTGGCGCCACCTGCTGGTGAAATCTCATTCCAAACCAAAACAATACATTTCTCTTTGCAATCCAGACCTCGAAGTGGTCAAGTCTGCAGGAAGCTGAGCTGCTAACCCAAAGGCTGTGTGTCTCTGGTGGTTCAAATCCCCTAGCCTCTCCACAAGAGAACGATGGGCATTGTAAGTGTCAATCTTGAAAATCTGAGGGAAGTGACGCCATGGCAGTAGGTTAAAAGAGTATTATTTTTTTTTTTAAATTATTTTTGTGTGTGTACCATCAAATCAGATCTGACTGGTACAGGAGGAGATTGTCCCTCCTTCTCCAGCAGAGCATCTGGTGGATTTGAACTGCTCACCTCTGGGATTGCAGTATAGCTTCTTGCCACTAGGCCACCAGAGATCACCATGTTTAAAATTTTTTTTATTATTATTATTTTTGTGTGAGTGTACCGTCAAATCAGATCTGACTGGTACAGGAGGAGATTATCCCTCCTTCCCCAGCAGAGCATCTGGTGGATTCGAACCGTGCGCCTCTGGGGTTGTAGTTGCAGCTCCTTACTACTAGGCCACCAGAGCTCCCCTAAAGATTATTTTAAGGGAGGCGTGTGTGACGCATGCTGTTGTGGTATTTTCAATTGCCTCATAAACAAACACCAAGACAATGAATGCATTTGGATTGAGGTGGTGCTGGTGAATAACTCGTATTTTTTCAATGTTATTGAGTCAGAAACAAATCATAGCTGACCCTCCAGAAGCTTTTCAAAGGCTGTAAATCACACAGCAGGAGACTTTTTCTCCTGCGGAGGAGCTGGGAGATTCGAACCGTATGCCTTTGTGTTGGCAGTGCAACACCTTACCACTAGGCCACCAGAGCTCTCTCTAGTTTTCAATATTCTGGATTCCCTGAAGAACAAACGCATCCATGTTGGAGAACTTTCTTACTTTGGGGATGTTATCAGGAGGGACACGGATAAGGACATGATGCTTGGGAAAGTAGGGAGGGCATAGAAAGAGACGCTCCAGAGATGGCCTGACACATGACACATGACCACACCAATGGGTTCAAATAGTGACGTGTGTGAGGCTGGCCCAGCGCCAAGCACTGTTTGTCTGCTGTGCACGTGATCACCATGCCCCAGAATCAGCTCAATGGCACCCAACAATACCGGCCAGGTACACTTCGGTGCCACACATCTGGACTTCGCACCTGCTGCGGAAATGCCAGTATCTAAAAGTGGCTTTCCAGAAAATTCTGTCCTAAATTAGTAGAAGCTAGCATTACACATATCTAAAGCAGCACTAGTCAGTTTGGGTTTCAAAAGCACCTCACTTTTAGTACCACTCAGATACAGTGTGAGATGTTCCTTTATGTATGGGTGGTGTTTTGGGGTACTGTTGATTCTGACTCCCAGTAACCCCACTGAATGGATCAGAACTGCCTACAGGCTAAAATTGTCAAGATGCAGAGTACTGGGGGGTGTTCAGGTAGAACGGTGCTAAATTAACCAGGGCACCTTAAGATTTAGGAGGGGACTACAATCTTCTCTTGGCACTTATAATTCAACTTCATCTATGACCCTCCCTACCATTCAAAGTCACCTAGAACCTGTAGACTCTCATTCTGTACATTTTAATCACATACACAAACCTAAAGACAAATTGCATTGGATAAGTCTGTCAGAAACCTCTCCAAGGTACCGAGGAGCAACGATGTCAGTCTGGAGACTAAGGTGTGCCTGATACAGGGCATGATCTTTGACATTACTTGCTATGCTTCAGAGAGCTGGACAATGACTAGGGAGGATAGGAGAATTGATGCCTTTGAGCTGTGGTGCTGGAGAAGAGTATTGCATATACCATGGACTGCTAAGAGAACAAACAAGTTTGTCCTAGAGAGGGTGAAGCCAGGCTGCTCCTTGGAGGCAAGGATTCTGAAGCTTTGTCTGACGTACTTTGGACATGTTGCAAGGAGGGACCAGTCCTTGGAGAAGGACATCATGCTTGAGATGGTGGAGGGATGGCGCAGGAGAGGAAGACCCTTGATGAGATGGATTAATTCCGTCATTGGGGTAATGGGGATAGGCGTGTTGGAGGCAGTGAGATTGGCAAGGCATAGAGCAGGGTTTAGGGCTGTTGTACATAGGGTCGCTATGAGTTACAAGAGACTCAACAACCCAAAACACCACATTTATTGGGAAACCATTTCTAATACGCTCACCAGCACTGTTTTTCTTCTCTTTTGGATCAAGAACCCACGGAGCATTATTTAGAAACAGTCCACCATGACAATAGATCTGTATCTATGTCCTAGAGTTGAAGACTGTAAATGCTGGGGGCTATTTCAGACAGGAGGGGTGTGCCATCTACTAGAAAGATTTAATGAGATGGAAAAACAGCAATGGTGACAGCTTTATTAGAGCTGGGAGGTGGAGCTGAAAAAGAAACCCACGTGCCCACGGCCATTCAGCACTGCATTTCATCTCCTCCGGGCCCTCCCGGGGGAGAAGGCTGCCATTTCAGATTCTGCAATGCTGAGGGGGTGACATTTGGGGGTGATCTCGATGACTTCACAGTATTACAAAAATTAGAGTAAACAGTACAAAATTACAATTTTGGGGGGACATAAGGGGGCACAACATTTCTGAGACATTTGAGGGACACCTCTTGGAGAATTTCTTGGCTCTGCGCCTCCTGCCCCTAACCCCCAACTCCTTTTTTGTGTTTTTAGGGTTTTTCCTCCAGTGCTAGTCGGGTATGGAGTCTGCGGGGCAGAGCAGCGCAGGGTGCGCCCCGCCCTGAATGATGGAGTAAGTCTGTTTGGGGAGCTCCTGCTGGGAGGCGGAGGATGAGGAGAAGATGGGGGGTGCTGTGGTGGCCACTGCGATGCCCTGGCCGCCGTCGCTCACCACCGTCACCTCGGCCGCCCCCTCCTGGATCAGGGCGTTGAGGCCTTCGAAGTCCGCGCAGGCGATGCCCGAGCTGGTGGTGAACGTCTGGTGGCCCGAGGCGTCCTGGGGACCCCCGGGGGCAGCGGCTGCGGCGGGGATCAGAGTCTGGTGCAGCGTGGCGCCCTCAGCCTGGTCGTGGGTGGTCAGCAGCACGGCCTCGCTGGGAGCCCCGGAGGCTGGCGGGGTGATGAGGCTGACCTGGCGCAGGATCTGCAGGCGGCCGTTGCCCGGAAGCTCGTCTGCGCTCTGCGCCACCAGCGCGGTGGCGGCCTGGACGATGGCATTGGCCTGTGGCACCTGGTGGCCCACGATGATCTTGACTCTGTCGTTGAACTGGGGCGGGGCCGGCGCTGGCTGCAGCGACACCTGCAGGGCGCTCACGGTCAAGGGCGCAGCGGGCGGCTTGAGCTGCAGCTGCAGGGCGCCCCCGTCTGTGCCCTTGACCTCGCTGTACTCACTGTGCTGCCGCCTGTGGCTGCGGAGCGAGTCCTCGCGCATGAAGGACGCGTCGCACATGTCGCAGTGGAACGTCTTCTTGGCGTCCAGCCGCGAACCCTGCCGGCCACCCGCGCGCACTGTGTCCTTGCGCGCCGCCGCCTCGGCTCGGGCCGCGTCCCCGTGGAACTTGCGCACGTGCTTGCTCAGGTTGCTGGGCTGCTTGGTGTCGAAGCTGCAGTGGTTGCACTTGAACGGGCGCTCGGGGCAGTGCACGCGCTCGTGCACGCGCAGCGCGGCCTTGCTGCTGCAGGAGTAGCTGCACTCGGCGCACTTCTCCGGGTGCTCGGCCTGGTGCACGCGGCTGTGCTTGCGCAGCGCGGCCTTGCTGTCGCCCACGAAGTCGCAGTGCGGGCACTTGAAGCTGTTCCCGCTGTGCTTGATGCGGATGTGCGACTTGAGGTTCCCCTTCATGGTGCAGCGGACGCTGCAGAACTCGCACTTGAAAGGCTTCTCCCCTGAGTGCACGCGCATGTGCCTTTTCAAGTCCGAGCTGATTTTGAACTTGGCGCTACAGAGCCAGCACTGGAAGGGAGCATCCCCTGTCAACACAAGGTGAGTTTCGATAAGCACAGGCAGGTGACAGCCGATCCCCCCGAAGCACACACCAGAACACTGCTTATATCAGGCGGGTGGATGGAGACCTTTTACGTTCAGCCCCTGGGAGATGCAGAAAAAGAAAATAAAGGGAGTTCTGCACAGTCACCTCCACCAACGGGGCTCTGGTGGCCTAGCATGGAGTTACACCGCCAGCCCAAAGGAAGTGGGTTCCAATCCACCAGCTGTTCGGAAGGAGGAATACGGGCCATCTTCCCAGTTATTTACAGCTACGAGCCGGTTGTTGAGTCTATAAAACACAATGGCAAACTATCACCAGAGTAACCCCAAAGACAGGGAGAATGAAAAGTGCTATTGCACTCCTATAAATAAACCAGGATTTACTGCACAAACAGTCCGTAGGCTGTACGGTGGACGCCCGAGAGGGAACGGGGCTGGAGGACACTGCCCACCCTTCCTCCCGCAGAGCACTGGTGGATTCTAACCAAGCGCCTTTGGGTTGGCATCGCAGCTCCTTAACCACGAAGCCACCAGAGCTCTAACTTAGTATAATCCTGCAAACCAACCCGACCACTGTTCACAGAGTTTGCACGTCACTAAGCTAAGAACGTTCAGAGGGGCATGACTGTGTCCTCCTATGATCTTCCATTGTCAATGTCACCCTTCCAAGTCACTCTGCTCCGTCCTGCGCTTGTCAATGTGTGTTTTTATTTATACATTTTTTTAAAATGAATGAACCACCCAGCTTATGCTTCATGCCGATCTTTATTCATAGACACGTTCATTGCCCATGTATTTATCCCCACAGAGCCAGCTGCTTCTCTCCTCATGATGCTGGTAAATCCAGTTGCTTCATTTTAAAAAGAGTCACAGAAAGATGAAGAAGGGAAGGGAAACCACGACCATGAGATTCCAAGTTCATTCGCTCAGTGAATGCCAAGTCCAAGCGATCGAAGGCATGGAGAGTTGCCAGGGATCTGCTGACCTTGTCCAGGCTAGGGTCGCTCGCTGAAGCAAGTGACGTGACGGCTGATGGTCTTCGTGGCTTCTCCGAAGGCAGGTCTGCCTGACTTACGTGTGTCACCTAGTGCTGTGTCCCCACGAGGTGCTTAATGTCCCCACGAGGTGGTTACTGCTATTGTGACTACAGCTGACACTGTCACCTATGTAAAACTGAGGCCTAGAAATATCATAAAACCCAGTCAAGGTTCCCAGTTCAGCGAAGAACCTGGATCCCAACCCAGGCTAGACCACACAGCCTGCCCTCTTCACTGCTAGGTTAATGCTCTGTCGTGGTGTACCATCGAGTCAGAACCGACCCATAGCTGACCCTCTACCAGGGCTTACAGAGCCAGTACCCTGGACAAGAGGAGACTGCCCCTCTTTCTTCCGACCCGCTGGTGGATTTGAACTGTATGCCTTTGTGCTGGCAGCGCAAGCCCTTATTTCTAAGCCACCAATGTTTATCTTTCTAGACAAACTGTAAAAGGAGCAGGGATTCTGCTCTAACTTCTGGGGGATATGGCCTGTAACAACCTGCACTGCTTAATAAATGCAAAGTTGTCATTTAGCACATTCCTACAAATGGAGACCTAAATAAGGGCGCTCTGGTGGCCTAGTGGGTAAGGAGTTGCGCTGCCCACCCAAAGGCACGCGGTTCGAATTTATCAGCTGCTCAGCAGGAGGAAAAAGGTGGACACTCTCCTCCTGTGTGATCCACGGTCTCTGAAAACCCCCTGGAGGATCAGCTACGAGTTGGTCCTCACAGGATGGCACAGAACAGTAACACCAACCATCTAAATAATACCACAAAGAACGTGGACATTAAACTGTAGAACAGGGAGGGATAAGCTGGAGCCCATGGGAGAAACCTGGCCTTCCACCTGTGTTTATAATTAAAGTTTGAATCAAACAAACGGACATTCATTCATTTAGGGATTGTTTCTGGATGCCTTCATGTCCTAGTGCAGAGTAGAGCTCTGCATTGTATGGTCTGCAAAGTTAAAGTCATTTACTGTCTGGCTTCTTACAGAAAAAAAATGTGCTGATGCCAGTACCAGAACACTGTGAACCTCATTTATGCCCCCCCCCCTCCTACTGGAAGGCTTAGTGAATACCACAGGCCCTTACTCAGAATAAGGTTATAATTGTATGAACTAAAATTGAGTAGGAATACTGGAGAAACCAACGGAACGGAAATAGCTATCAAAAGACTTAAAGAAAAAAACAACTGTGATGTGGAAATATATCTTCTTCACGAACACATTAAATGATGGGACCGAGCACCTAATACCTAAGAAGAGAAGGACGTAAAGGGCGTGTCCTCTATCGGGGCAACTGTGTTGTCTGAGGAAAACATCTCTTCTCCCTTTTGCTGGTTATCAGATGACTGGCCTGTTTTTTTCCCACCATTTCAGTCAAGGTTAGTAAAAATAGTGAAACATAGTTTTTGTTCCCATCTGTCTTAGTCCTCTAGTGCTTGTTTTAATAGCACTAAAAAAAGTAGATGACTTTAATGAACAAATTGATTTTCTTATGGCTTACGAGGCTAGAAGTCCAAGTTCAGGGTGTCAGCTTTAGGGGCAGGACTTTCTGTGGACTCTGGGGGAGGCTCCCCACTCTTTCCAACATCTGGGGGTCTTACAATCCCATCAACAATCTCTTCAAGGCAACCTGGCCTTTTACTATGGTAGCAATCCTGCGAACAATGGATGTGAACCCTGCCCTACGCCGTGCCAGCTTCGTCATCTCTGACACACTCAGGCCCACCGTGAAGCGTCACTGAGTCAGTCCATCTTACTGAGGGTCTTCCCCTCCTTTTCTGACCTTCCACTTTCCTTTCAAGCACCAGGTCCTCTTCCAAGGACTGGCCCTTCCTAAAAACATGCCTAAAGGATTACTAGGCAAAATAAAACTTCTAGTTTAAACCCATGTAAAAATAATAATAATAATAATAATAATAATAATAATAATAATAAAAGAGAAGCATAAAAAGAAAGAAAAAAATTCTGAAATCTGAGCTTGTGGGCAGGGAACGGTCACTGGCGCCATGGCTGGGGAGTGGAGTCAACCTGGGTGGCGCTTTGCTGTGAGTTTCCTAGAAGTATAAGACTCTTTCTCCTACCAGAACTGGGGTTGCCAACCACCAAGAAATCAGATGAGATGCCAGACTTTAGACATGTGTGATCGAAGCAAGAGAAAGCATGTACCTGGAGGGCAGAGAGGGAGGATGTAAACCCCTGATATTCCCGCATCAAGGACTGTTTTAGAGGGCTATCACCCCAAATCAAACCATATTGGGCCTTAATTGATTTTTGTTTGTTTTTAATTAGGAGAACTGTATATATTGAACTGTATACATCAATCTCGGAAGCAGGAGTGGTATCCGCATCCTAAATAACATGCCTGTGGAAACCCTGTGAACTTTGATAAATGTCAATAGCTGTCCAGGGGCTTCAAGCCTTTTGTTCATAGGGTCGCTATGAGTCATGCTCAACTCAAAAGCTATCAACAACAACATCCTAATTATCAACCCTTGAGAAGAATGTATATATGAACCCAGGGTAAGCAGCTCTGCTTCAGAATGTTCTAGTAAGTCACTCAGATACACTCCTGCCCGAGGAATAGGAATGGGCTTTTTCTTTCTTCAACAACTAGCAGATGTAAACAGCAGACTCGTCAGGTAACCCAATTTCACAGTTCAGTAGCAGAATTTAACAACACCTCTCGGAATGAACACAAAGGGTTTAAATCTCTTCTCTTCTTTTCTTTAACTAGAGATTTAGTTCTCAAATGAGGCCCACAGGTGAGTAAACAGTTCTCTGGGCTCTAAACTCCTCAAGACCAATGACTGTGTCCACTACCTGCTCCCCACAATGTCTGGTACATAGTGCAGAGTGAATGTTTGCCTAATGAATACGTGACTAAACAATATTTGAGCTGGAAAAATCTTTCCTGAGTTTAGGCTGTAACCAAGAGAAATCACACTGTAGCTGATCCAATCATTGCAAGGATAAAACCAAAATCATTCATGTCAAAGGTCAAAGAGTTATGAAAGGGAAACAATCAGTTCACAGAGAGAATGCAGGTAAGAGACACACTGGAATTTCTAGGAAATACACTGTTCTGAATCCACTGAAAGATGCTATTAATGGTTAAGTTCATCCTTACAAGACGATGCGGAACAACTTTCATAAATTCCTCTTCAGTGCATCCAAAAGAGCTCTGGCGGGACAGTCTGTAGGCAATTGTTCTGCCAACCCAAAGATCATCTCTCCTCTAATCCACCGGCTGTTCCCAGTGAGAACGATGGGTAACTGACCGCCTTGGAAATCAGCTGGAGGAGTCAGCTAGGAGCTGGTTCCAACTCAGACTGAGGCTGGGGAAGATTTCCAAAAGAGTCACCTTCTCTCACTGCGTGCTATAGGTTAGAACGGACTCACAGGTGACCCTCTAGAAGTTTTTAGAGGCTGTAAATCACATGGTAGGAGACGGTGCATCGTTGTCACAAGGAGCAGCTGATAGATTCAAACCTCTTGACTTTGGGTTCTCAGCACAACTCCCTAGCTAACTGGCCCCAGTGTTTCTTCCAAAGAGGATCCACTGGGTACAATTATGCCAGTGATTTAACTTGATGTAGTCGATTAAGAAAATGGCCCCAAACTTCCTCCTGAGCCCCTTGTGTGACCTGGCCTCTGTCATATAAATTTCATGTGCCCTCCCAACATGACACAACCTGGCTTGCACATAAGGGCTTGTTGGCTTCCCCATCCACGAAAGCGAAGAGGTCGGGTGAACTTGGCCTAGTCCACTGGTTCCCACAGGAGGGTGAGAGACACATGGAGCAGAGCTGGACCAGGCCAGCCGAGGCCAGTGGACAGCCAACCCACAGCCAGCAGATCCCAGATACAAAACTTCCCCAGGACTGAGGACCAGAGTTGCCTAACCAATACTCAGCTGACCCCTAGCACACGAACAAAAACGTGCTTACTGCCTGTCCTCGAGGCTGTGTGTCTGTTTTGTTACAGTGTATTATTGTGATGATAACTCACACAGATGCTGGTACTTCAAAACAGTGCAGTGTCATACCCAGACATCCTTCGGTGGTACAAACAGCTCCACAGCCTGCCACGAATCAAGAGGTCAACGACGCAAACCCATCTCTGGATGCTGCAGAGGAAAGGTCTGCGATCTAGCTCTGAAAACGCAGGTACTAAAATTCTAGGGAGCTCTGGTGGCTTAGTGGCAAGAAACTGCACTGAAATCCCGAAGGTGGGCAGTTCAAATCTACTAGATGCTCTGCTGGAGAAGGAGAAGTATCTCTTCCTGTGCCTGTCAGATCTGATCCGACGGTACACAACAATAACAACAAATTCTACAGGGTACGGTTCTACTCTGACGCACTGGGGTTGTCATGTCAGAATCAACTAATTGGCAACTTTTTGGGTTTTTTTTCTTTTTCTGCAATAGAAACGCAAAATACTCTGCATCTGCTTTAGGACTGAATCACAGATAAAGACCGGAAAAAATGGGAAGTCACACTCTTTAATGACAAAACACCTGGCAAAACCGTGGACTTAAGAGGACAGTAAACGTACCTTATGGACTTAGGAGTTTGCCAAAGAGAACTATCCCACTGTCTTCTAACTGCATATGTTAACATGCGATCAGGAAGGGACAAGCTCAAAAATACATCAGCCATTCTCTCAGCAGAACTTAGAGGGAAAATAGAAAAGCCCAAGACTGGCTGGGCTGGAAGACTTTGTCCTGTCTAGTCTCTCCATCTAGAAAAAGATTCTCTCAGGAAGATAAAGCCTGGAGATCCTATCCAGGGAACGGATGCTAGTGTGAAAAAAACTCGAGAGATCTAAATACAAGATGTTCTGTTGAAGCTTCTGAAAGAATGAAGTTGGTGCCCAGTAACTTCTCAGAGCGGCACGACTGGATTCCTAGGGATGTGGAGGGACTGACCCAGAGAAGATGGCCAGGCTGGAAGTGATGGTCACTGAGCTGAGCCAGGGTGGCAAGTCCTTAACAGAACTGAAGACATGGATTTTGGGAGAAGGGCACATAGGAAATGTAAGAGTTTTAAAGACAGCGGTACTGGCAAAAATAGGGAATTCTAGTGGTGTAGTCTGTAACGAGTTGTGATGCAAGCCCAAAGGCCGCAAGCACCTCTCTACTGGTTCAAGTCCACCAGCTGCTCTGGAGAGAAAGACAGGCATCTCTTCCCATGTGATCCACAGCCTTGGAAACACAATGGAGGGTCAGGAATCAGAATGAGGTATGGTTTGTTTTGTTTTACTGGAAACACTGTTGGTATACTAAACACTTAAAACTTTACAGAGAGCTCAAGCTTTCTGTAGGCAGCAAGCAGGCGGAGAACGTTTCTCAAATGACACATTTTCTGATCCTCTTCAGAACCAGCAAAGGAGGGTGATGGGAAGGATGCTGGAATAAAGTCAGGGATTCAATTCAGGATCTAAACAGGGAACACTGCCTGTCCCCAGAGGGATTTCAGAAATGTTGTCAACCAGCTATTGCCCAGTGCCTCCCTGCTGCACCCTTCTGAATGGCCGGCTGGTCAGCCTGATCCTGCCCATTTGACCAATGCATGATGGGAATGCGGGCAGGCAACCTGCCCTTTCACGGCAAAGGCCTTTAGAACAAGAGAAGCCATATCCCACGCTGACAGAAGTCCCAAGAGACTGGTTCATCGGCCCTACGGAGTCCTGTGGGGGCATGGGAGGCAGGGAGAGAGTGCACTTGCATGTGAGAGAGATGGGGATGGCAGTGAGCATGATGGGAGACTGTGGTCCTCTGTAGACACGGGCCCAGTTCGTCACCCCTCTGTATCCTGGGCTCCTGCCACGTAGCTCTGTGGCTGCCTACCATGGTGGGTGAGCTACAACCCACGAGGTGCCCCCAGGCAGCTTGCTTTAGCCATTGGCAAGCTGTCAGACCGAATGTGGGCCAAGGCGTGAGACAGGCTTGTGTCTGTCCATCCTCATGAGACGGACAGGTGGGGGCGTGGACACTGGCCCTGGGGGAAGGATGAGGGCCATGCAGGGGTGAGACAGATTACCCCAGTCCAATCAGCAGCCATCCAGGACGGCCCACCACCTGTGACTAAGCCCAGCCAAGGTCAACACTCTCGTTTAGCCAAACCCCGCTGTCTTCAGCATGTGGGCAGACAGCACCATGAACCACGAAGTCTCTATGGCTTCGCTGTGCCAATACCCTCACCAAAGAGAAATGCTGCATTACCTCCACTTCTGACTGCGTGTGCCATTTCCAGTCAAGCTGTCCCACCAGACTAATTAGGGTGCATTTAAATGACTGAAATACCTTGCCCACATATCAACACAGATGCACTGTATATATGTCAGTTTCATTTAGTATGCCTTCTCTACAAACTAGTGAACAAATTATAAATGGATACAAAGAGCTATGTAAAAATTTATATATGTATACACACACACATCATACATATATACATATATATGTATACGTATATGTATATATAAAAAGAACTAAATTTAACCTTTTCCCTGTTTTACCCACAAAAGTTATTCTGGGCTGAGGAAAAGCGAACTGCAAACAAGGGATGTGAACACAGCGGGGTGCACGTTCACACACGGGGACCGTCCTGGGGTGTGAGGCACCGCACAAGTCACACAACAGGACATGGGGGCCCTGAGGGGCCTCTCGGCGGGCTTACCCGTGTGGGAGCGGAGGTGGACAGTGAGCTGGCTGGAGTTGCGGCTGGCGTAGGGGCAGATCTGACACTTGAAGGGCCGCTCGTCTGAGTGGATCCTCAGATGCTTGTTAAGGCTGCTGGAGTCGGCGGCCGCGTACTCGCACGTCTTACACTTGTAGGGCTTGACGCCAGTGTGGCACCGCATGTGCGTCTTCAGTTTGTCCTTCCGGCTGAAGCACTTGCCGCAGACTTCACACTTATGGGGCTTATCTCCTTCAAACACACAGAGAGTATCAGGAAGCCGGGTTCAGAGAGAAAGGGGCATCCCTTCCCACCTATTATGAAAAAAGGCAAGCCTCAAGATTGAGAAAACAGAAAATCAAACAAAAGAAAAGAGACCCCGAGCCTGCTGCTGATCCCTTCTTGGGAGAAATCTCTTTCTCTATTTTGCTAATTGTTATTGTCTCATTTTTTCCTACTGTGACCGTGAATTGCCTATTATTTAAAGATATAACACAGCACTGGTCCCATCAGCACCAGTACGTCCAAATGCAAAGGTTGAAGGGGTGTTAACATTCCTCTGGAGGTGAAGGATGCTTCTCTAAAAAAATACACAGTTGCCATATAATTATAGTATTGGTTTTGAAACAAGGATCCAGCAAGAGTCACGATCTTCCATTTCTTTGATGTGGGCATGATATCGTCCACTGCAAATACTCCAATCCACCCCAGGGGATTATTTGCCATGAAGATCTGACATCTGACTATAAGGGGTGTTCATGTGAACCTGGTCAACACATGAAGTGAAAACTAAAGATGCCCGAGGCCATCACATTTTGGAAGACAACAGTCTACTCAACCAAAACCCTTCCTGCTGCTTATGTGAATTTGCACAATCCAGATGAAAGCAAAAAGCAAGTCTGTAGATTCCGAGAGATGAACATGCAAAAATAACTAATAAAGGCCACTGTTAAGTTTTGTTTTAAAAAACTAGAAGGTAGCTACAAGAAAATGTTACAGTGCAGCTAAGAAAATCAAGTGCTCACTGTCCCCCGGCCCTCAGTCTCCTTCTACCTTCCCACAGCAGAGCCCCAGGCACTTAGAGGAGCTTCAGCAGATCTCCTGGCTGATCAAATAAACTCTGGTGGTGGAAACCACGGAGAACTCAACTGCTAAGCAGGAGGTTGGCAGTTCAAACTCACCCAGGGTGTCTCTCTGCAGGAAAGACTTGGCATAAAGATTACAGCCACTGAGAAATCCCAAAGGGGCAGCATTTGCCCAGGGCTAAAGCTCAGAATTCAGGAAGGACAGGAAAAGGCCGAGTGGAAATGGGAAACATAGAAAGGAAGAGGGGGGGAAAAAGAAAGGAAGAGAGAAGCACGCTATCATGGGGACTGTAGCCAATGTCATGAAAGAAAATGTGTAATGAACTGCTGATTGGAAAACTAATTGGCTCTTAACCTTTTACTCAAATCACAATATAAATGAGATGAAGAAAAAAAAAAAAAACCGAACAAAACCCAAGCCCAACAAGACAAAACGAAAAAACCAACCCCAAACAGAAAACCTTTAGGGGAGAGTTCTAGTCTACCTATGAATTTGCTCTGAATCAGAATCAATTAGACAGCACGGCCCACCACCACCTGTGGCTGACCAGCTTCGACCACCTTTCTCAGGTGGCCCCCTAGCTGGGTGTGCATCTGTGACCAAGTTCTTGTCACTGAATGGTAGTGGAAAAAAAGGTTTGCCACTCTCTTCCTAAACAACATGCCTCTGGACACTCTATGAACTTTGATAAATGTCGATAGTTTGTAGAGGGGCTTCAGGCCTTTTGTTCAGAGGGTCACTAGGAGTTGTGTTTGACTCAAGGCAATCAATAACTCTATAAAAAGCAATTGTCTTCCTTTTGCTTTTCTTTTTCTCTTTTCTTCTGTTTGTGAATTTACAACAGGACAGGAGGGTGAACCGCAGGTAGGCAAAGACACTTGCAGGAGGTGGAGTAACGTCATCGACTAGAACCTAACGCACAGCAGTGTGATACAGAAAAGGCCCGACGGGCTGTGAACAGCTGCTCCCCTGCACAGCTCTCGGCTGCTCCCCCTGCACAGCTCTGAGGACGGGAAGGCCCTCCCACCCGCTCTGAACCCATGCTGGGCTTTACTCTTACAGCAGCTCCCGTCATCTCCATTAAAACATCTGCCAACTGGCCACCCACAAACTGCTAATTATTTAATATCTATTTTTTCAATTTGATTTTGTACATGTGGTTTTCATACAACATAAAACTTTGTTCTAGGGAGCTCTGGTGGCCTAGTGGCAAAAAGCTGCTCTGCAATCCCAGAGGTACATGCTTCGAATCCACCAGATGCTCTGTTGGAGAAGGAGGGGCACTCTCCTCCTGTACCAGTCAGATCTGATTTGACAGTACACACATAAAAAAACAATACAAATTAAAAAGCAAAAAAATCCCTGAAACCAGTCCCCCCACCGCTTGTTCTAACATCAACACACACACTTACTTTCTGGGAGGCACTGTGACTTTGAGTTGTTTTAGTTAATGCTAACAGCCATGAGCGCATTCAGGACTGTCTTTCCCTCCAAACACAATGCCACCTGCCTCTTCGTTGACTGCCTTCCTTCTTAGAAATGAAATCATTTTAGTCATTTTTTTTTTACGTCCTCAAATGTTCATAACACGCCAGCATTTTACTGTAAGGATGAAAGATTGACTATCTCGGCCACTTAAAAGAATGAAGCAGACAGGTACCTGATGGTGTAGAGAGGTATCCAATTGAACTCACAGAAAATCCCCACTGACTCAATGCTGTTGGGGAGGAATCCACCCACTGGGGACGTGTCAGCAGGTTTTCAGAGGCTTTCAGCTGCACAGAAGGGGTCTGCTCATCATGTACTTCCTGTACTCGTGGGTTCTGACCACTCGTCTTTGTGCTGGCAGTGCAACTTCTTACCTCCGAGGCCACCAGCCTTTTCAGAGGCCCTACGGTGCAGGGGAGGAGTCTGCCCATTTTTCTTCTGGAGGGTAGTTGGTAGATTTGAACCGCCAGCCTTTGGGTAGATGGTAAAGAAACCATACGCAGAGTTTCCTAGGCTGTAAACTTCACAGGCGCAGACTGCTAGGTCTTTGTTCCTATGGTGACATTGAACCACCAACTTCTCTGTCAGCAGATGACTGCTTGACCATTAAGGCTCCTTGACAATGCAAATAGTATTAATTTAATAAATGAAGAAAAAAAGAAAATGCATTTTCAGGCCCAGGGAAACAGAAAAAGAAACCCACTGACTAAGCGTCTGTTCTGCCTCCAGATGGCCGTTCACTGGGTTTCTGAGGTTTGTTTGTGGGCTTTTTTTTTCAGATTAATAGAATTTTATTACAAGAGTCAGATGCATTTTGAAATCAGATGCACAGGACTTGTCCGGCCTCATTTCTGTAGCTGGAAAAATCCTAGCTATTACTCACCAGCCTGGGCAGTTCCTTTTTCGGAGACACAGATATCATCCAAAAATTTTCAGATATCCTTGTTTTTAATTGTTGTAACTTGCTGAATCAAAGCAGCTGAATTTGTTATAAGCTCAATGTTGTTTCCTTTAAGAATTAACTCATCTTTCTGGGCTTGAGATACTGAAAAAGCAACATCTGGTCTCATTCAAACTTTCTGAATGTATTTTTCACCCATCAAGTTTGGAATTTCAACCAGAGGTCCACTCTCTGGAATCACAACGTTGATGGGGAATTGAGCACACACAGACCTCATCTTGTAACGAAAGCCTCGTGTAACCCCCTTGATCATGTTCTGTACGTGGCTACAGATGGTGCGAACGGTTGCCAATTCCTTCCTGTTTCCCCACCATTTGTCAACAGGAAGCCTCTTCATTTTCTTTCCGAGGAGACTGAGCTCCCCATTGATGTAACTGAAGTCCCTCCACGAGGTTTCCCGCTGGCCTTTCACGGTAACTGTGCGGCCCTTCAGAGTAGACATTCTCTGGATTGTCGACAGCAGTCTGGTTGCTGAGAATGGACTTCATTCTCACAGCTAATGTGGCAAGAGCGGTTTCTGAGGTTTTAACTCGTAATCTCTTTCCCTCCGAGTGGCTGGTGGAGTTGCTCTGCCCCCTTTTCCCTTGTAGCCCAACACGCAATGCACTACACCACCAGGCCCGGTTATCCCACTGCTGGTGAGCCGATTTCAACTCACGGGGACATTCCTTTGGATCTCTGAGGCTGTGGACTCTTCCAAGAGAACACCGCTTCCTCTTTCTCCTTCAGAGGCGCTGGGCTTCAAACCACTAACCTTTTGGCCAGTTCAACACGTAACATACTTTATCATTGGGTTCCTAGGCTCTCTATAGGCAGGTGCAATAGTTGGCAAAATACACCCTAGATTGTCAAGGCTGGGGACTCTCAGGGCATGAGGTTAGAAGAAGGTGAGCTGCAGATCAGATCATTTTAGTCAAGTGCTGAAATCTCTCTTCAGCCAAATGTGATCACTTTCATCTGAGATTTAAGACTCTATCTAGAAGTTTCTTTAAAGGAATTTGATTATTGAAGAGGTGAGCGGTCAGGGTTTAAAATTTAAGAAGGATCATTTCTCTGCATTGCCAGCTGCTACATAGCTCTGGGAGTCCACACACTGCGTACCTGTAAACCAGGGCAGGTATGCAATGAGTGTTGGGGCAGCACTGCCCTCTGCTGGCCCTGCCACCAAAGAGCCCGGTGGCTGTGGGAGACTCATTACGCACGCACACCTCCCCTTCTGGAACTAACACCCCTCATCCCTCAGCTCTCCAACCTAAAGAGGTTTCAGTCACGTGAACACCAGCTCAGTTTTGAAATTCATGCAAAAGCTCGTAAGTGTGTGAAGAAGATGTTTTCCGCAGACACAGACCTGAGACTGCTGCCCGCGTTTATACTGATCCGCCTGTCCAGCCACCCTTGACAATTCGAGCGCTGTACTCTTTCTGACAAGCATGCATGTCAGTTTGAAGACTATGGTGCATCTGATTAAGGCCTCAGCTGTCTCAAACATCTGCTATGCGTCTGAGAGCTGGACAATGAATAGAATAACAGGAAGAATTGATGCTTTTGAGTTCTGGTGCTGGAGAAGAGTACTGAACATCCCATGGACTGCCGAAAGAGAAAAACAGATTTGGAAAAGGTACAGCCAAGAAGAGTGCTGGTTGGAGGCATGGGTGACAAAGTCTTCTCTTTCATAATTTGGAGGTGCAGCTAGGTGAGGACATTCCTCGGAAAGATGGATGGTCAGCAAAGGAGAAGACCCCTCATAAGATGGGTTGACACTGTGATTTCAATAATGGGTCCGAGCGTGTCAGAGATGATGATGACGGCACGGGATACAGCAGGGTTCAGGCTGTCTGTTTATAGGGACAGAGGGCGAAGAGATTGAGAGTGTTCACAGCTTCAGTTTGCTCGGCTCCACGGTCAACACTCTTGGCACCAGCAGCCAGGAAATAAAAATGTATTGCGATGGGAAAGTCTGCAGTTAGGGACCTCTCTAAAGTACTCAAGAGCAACAGTGTCTCTCTGGAGACTAAGGTGCGCCTGATACAGGCCATGGTCTTTGCAATCACTTGCTATGCATCAGAGAGTTGGACAATGACTAGGAAGGATAGAAGGAGAATTGACACCTTTGAGCTGTGGTGCTGGAGAAGAGTACTGAATGTTCCATGGACTGCCAAGAAAACAAACAGATTCATCCTAGAGAGGGTTAAACCAGGCTACTCCTTGGAGGCAAGGATTCTGGGGCTTTGTCTGACATACTTTGGACATGTTGTAAAGACAGACAGGTCCTTGGAGAGGGACATCATGCTTGATAGGGTGGAGGGACGGCGCAGGAGGGGAAGGCCCTCTATGAGGTGGATTGGTTCAGTGACTGGGGTAATCGGGATGGGTGTGTCAGAGGCAATGCGATTGGCACAGGATAGAGCAGGATTTAGGGCTGCTGTACATAGGGTCGCTATGAGTCGCAAACGACTCGACGGCACATAACAACAACAACAACAACAACATGAATTGTACTTGACCCATAAGCACCTTACAACGGCTTTTCTTTTTTTAACAACAGCTTTTCTGGTGATACTTTATCATAGGTTGATCAAAATGTTGGCATATGACTGCATAAGTTCACTGTGCTATTGAAAATCCTTAACAATCTTTGACATCTAATTTAGATAATGGTAATTATTCGGAGTGACATGAAGCTGTGAGGCTGATGAGAAGTGGGGGTGGGGAGGTGGTCTAAAGCAGGCAGGCAATACTGTCTGTGGTTAAAGGCGTGGAGAAATAACTGCTGACTAGTTCATCTTCCAGATGGGGGAATGGACTCTGGGCAGTCAATGAAGCCAAATTTCAAGGGGGTCTCACCTAACACACAGAATTTTAAAATTATGACCCTCTCAGACTTTGTTCAGAAGTAGTCTAAAAGCAATTTCTCCTCTGGCAGGAAATCTAGGAAACATAAAAACCATATACAAAAGAAAGGGGAAATCACCAGATTTGGCCATTTTTCTATAGAATGGTCTTTTTCTTTCCTTTTTATTTAGAAAAAAAAAAGCCATATAAAACATTTGCCATTTGAACAATAACAATAAAAAAAGATCAATTCTCCACCCACTGCTATGGAGTGGATTCTGACTCGGCAAACGGGGCACAAAGCAGAACCATCCACAGGGTTTCAGAACCTGTGATCTCTCCAGACCCAAACAGCTTCATCCTGCTCTCACAGAGCAGCTGATGGGCTTGAACCCCTGACCTTCTGGTTAACAGTCGAGGTCTTCAGCCATCAGGGCTTGTTACCTAAACCTCAGTGCCATTATGTCCATCACGCGATGCAACCATCACTATTTTCCATTTCCAAATGTTTCCATTTCCATTACAGAAACTCACAGTGCCCCTCTAGCAACCATGCGTCCCTCTCCTCCTTCTCCCTTTAAGGTTTCTTTGAATCAAACAGAGAGCTCCTTAGAAGGAAGGACGGTGAAACTCCGTCTTACTCACTCTGGGGATGTTGTGAGGAGGAATCAATCCTTGGAAAAGAATGATGGAGGATCAAAGGAAGAGAGGAAGACCCTCAGTGAGCTGAACGGACAGAATGAATCTAACAGTGGGCTTGGGTATGATACAGAGGGTGGCACTGGTGCATGGCAGCGCCAGGTTCAGCTCTGTTGTCCATAGGGTCAGTGTGAGTCACAGTCTCATCTGATGGCACCTAACAACAACAACAAACCTCCCCTCCCCTTTTAGAAGCTCAAGCAGTCCCTGATTTACAAATACTCGAGTTACAATGAAAGACTTAAGATGTATTAGAAACACACTTCGGTACTGCAATCCCAGAGGTACACGGTCCAAATCCACCAGATGCTCTGCCGGAGAAGGAGGGACAATTTCCTCTTGTACCAGTCAGATCTGATTTGACGGTACATGCACAAATAATAATAATAATAATAAAAAAGATTAAAAAAAAGAAATACACTTCGGATCATTTGGGATTTTTTTGGTCCATCTCATCATTAGCAATAAACACTACATACAATGTTGCAGGAAATAACTGGCCGATGTGATGCTCAGATGTGACGCTCAGATATTCACTTGCAAGTGCTCAACATTAGGTGTTCAAAAGATACTACTAATAAAAGGCATTAATATTAAAAAGTCATTTGCCCTGCATCAGAACTGACAGTTAAACTGAGTTGCAATTTGGGGACTGTGCATTTTTCCTTATTAGTTTTCCTTTCACAGCTGCCAAAGTAACACAAACCCACTGTATCCACTGGCAGCAGAAAAGGTACCTTCTTCTCCTTTACTCCTCTTTGTCAGTCTTACACAAATAGGAACCTTTATGACCATCATCAGATTATCTTCTCAGAACGAGACCACCACGTCCGTTCACACTGCCATGAGTTGTGCCAGATTAATTTTCACATTCCCGTTAGCAGTCTACTTACACCCTCCCCAGCACCAGATTTCATTGCTTAACATGTTTTCTGCCAAAATAAGATGTAGAAATAAGGCACTGGTTTTGAGTCAGTTTTTATTTGAATCATGGAGCTTCTGCACCCCACAGTACGCTTGACTGTTCTGGATTCCTAGCCCCCGGCACAAAGCAGGTGTTCAGGACACAGTGGCTAAGCATGTGACTTACCTGTGTGAATTTTTAAATGTCGCTCCATGTCCTTCATGCCATATGCCGTCTTGAATTGGCAACCTAAACAAAGCAATACAAACAAAACAGAAGATTAAACGAATGGATAGAGCAGTTCTGGTGTATCCACATAATGAAATACTATGCTACATTGAAAAACTCATGAAATATTATAAAAATGGATGATCCTGGAGGACATTATGCTGAGTGAAATATCTCAGTAACAAAATGACAAATACTTCATGGTGCCACTGTTGTAAAACAGGATTGACACTGGGGTTGGGGGAGGCTGAGAACGATGGGTTCAATAATGTATACTGCATTGAAACAGATGAGGGAGAGAACTGTTAAAAGGGATACATGATTAGGTATTATTGTCATGACAGGAGTCCAGAAAGAAGGCTGCACAGTGGAGTGGACTTGGGGGGAGGGACTGATTGTATAACAATGAAAGAATTTTTCTTTTACTTTTCAAAGAGAAGAATGAACTGGAGGGGAAGGGTGGGCAGGGAGAAAAGTGCAATAATGAATAAATAGAAGTCCAAAGTCTCTGTAAATTTTTATTAAAATTAATAATAGTAATAAAAGAAAAAACCCCAGAAGATAAATTCTAAAAAGACAGGTGTGATTTTGGAGGGAGGGTTACTGTTGAGGTTACAGAGCATCACATGTACTGCATGTTCCTTCAGTGACACTGATGCTGCTGTCCGAGTTGTGTCAACATTCTCCCCTTTGTGGAGTCATTCCTCCTCTGTTAACATAAACTCACTGGCCTCTAAAGTTGCTGTCTAACCTTTTGAGTTGCTAATGTCAAACTGACCCCACACAGACAAATCTTAAATGACCTCAGTGTGGAGAGAACTGTTGAAAAGGGATATATGATTAGGTATTATTGTCATGACAGGAGTCCAGAATGAAGGCTGCACAGTGGAGTGGACTTGGGGGAAGGGATTGTATAACAATGAAAGAATTTTTCTTACTTTTCAAAACGAAGGCTGCAGAGGAGCGGACTTAGGGTGTGGGATTGTATAACAATGAGAGAATTTTCCTTTTACTTTTCAAAGAGAAGAGTGAACTGGAGGGGAGGCTGGGCAGGGAGAAAAGCGCAATAGTGAATGAATGAAAATCCAAAGTCTCTGTAAACTTTCATTAAAATTAATAATAATAAAAAGGATTGGTTATAAAAAAACCAAAAAAACCGTCAGTGCTCAAGGCAGGCTTTTCTCCATAAGCTAAGGAAATGATGGTCTGCTTTTTTTTTTTTAATTTAAAAAAAATTTTTTATTATTACTATTAATTTGAATGAACATCTACAGAGATTCTGGAATTCCATTCATTCATTGTTGCACTTTTCTCCCCCCACCCCCTATGGTCTGCTTTTATGAAGACCTGAGGGGATATTCTGGAGTACAGGTTCTATGATGACCTCAGGGGCTCAGGAATTCAAACAAATTGTCGAGAGAAGCAGCCTGGCGGGAAACACCTCTGACATGTGACCACATGAATAGCACAGAAATGGGGCAAGGAGAGGTCAAGTGCTTCCTGATATAATGGTCCAAGAGATCCAGCATCATGCCGATGGTTTCTGCCCAAAGTGCATCATCACTTCTGAGGACACACCAGACAATCCTAACTCCTGTACTTCACATACTATGAGAGCATTTAAGTGATGTCAAGGTCACAAAGGACAAGAGCTGAGGAAATAGATCAAAGAAAACGAAAGGCACGGTGAGGAGCCCTGGTGGTGTGTTACACTGCGGGCTGCGAACTTAACGGTCAGTAGTTCAAATCCATGAATCCATCAAGTGCTCTTGGGGGTAAAAAAACCCCAAACCAACAAACCACGGCAGTTTGCGCTCATGAAGCTACAAAACTTCAGCGACCAGTTTGCGCTCATGAAGCTACAAAACCTCAGCAACCATGGACGGCTGTCGTGAGTCAGAGCTGACCTGGCAGTTGTTATTGCGAGATGACCCTCTCGTGGGTTTTTAGAAGCAGTTATTTACACCAGAGGAGACTGCCCACCCTTCTCCTGGGGAGCAGGTGGTGATTCGAACCGTGTGCCTTCAGGATTGCAGTGCAATGTCTTACCACAAGATCCCTAATTTAATGGTAGTGGGCTTAAAAAAAAGACATAAAAACAGGATATACAGGACATACAATCCTGAATTAATTTACACAGGGGAGAAAAGGTTCTCTTTTAATATAAAGGACATCGAAGGGAGAACTGATGAACTTTATCAGCTGTCATCAAGCCAACCTTGAAATGTATGTGGGTTAGAATAGACCTGTCTTCCACAGACTCTTCAAGGACTGGTTTTTGGGAAGCAGTCTGCCATGTCTTTTTTCTGAGGCACCTCTGGGTAGACCTGAGTGGCCCACCTTCCAATCTACATCCCATC